CCCCCCCCTCCCTCCCCACCCCCTTATTTTGTTTAGGGGTTTAACCCTGAATAGCTATTCCTTTTCCTAAGTGCAATATACTTAGTATGTTGAAGAGCTGAAAAAATGTACTACTACACTAATTAAAGGGTTTCTGGGTGACAGTGCCACAAATCGGTACATCGTTTATCTACGCTACAGTCTACGAAAAGTTACGAGCCGTTCTGCAACAGGATTTCGGCATGAAATCGGTGGCCGGCATCTCGAGTATATCTGGTGGAGCGGCTAGTTTTGCATCGCAGGTGAGTCAGCTCGATTTGCTAGTTTTCTTTTCTTGCTAGGTTTTCGAGTTACTGGTCATTGGGGATGAAATTCTGTTGTTCCATTAAAATTCTGAGCATCTGATAGTAAAAAAAAAAAAACGCAGAAACTCGGCATTTCAGTCGATCTTCGTTCCCACCGATATCATATCCCAGTATATGATGGTATATTACAAAGCGGATAAGTTCATTTCGGGAAATGACAAGGCCGTAATCGAATACTTACGTAATGAGAAAAATCCACGCCTAACATTAGGATTACGTACCGTGAGAGCGATATACAAAATTGATGGCCTGAAAGGGTTTTTTCGGTAGGTTTATACCTTTCCTTTTTCCTTTGCATTCCTTAAATAACTAACTGTTTTTCAAGCGGATTTTGGGCGTCAAGTCTCGTTTACGTGCCATCGTGTCTCGTTTTTTGGCCTACGTATTATTGGTGCCAGGACTTCTTCAATTGGGTATGTTGATTCATCGCCTTTTGTTCTTTACAACTCTATAGTAGGCATTGATCGTTGGAGGGAGACTCATTTTGAGGTTAAAGAATGATTCCTCTCGGAATAAGAAAGCTTTTGTCTCATTCTATTGTCATTTCGTCGAGATGGAAATATTAAATAGTCCGAGTAAGCATAGTATCGCTATATATCGCCGGTGGAATTCCTTCTGACATTCAATCCTTGGCCTTCGCCTGAGCTAGCGGACCCACTGCTCTTTATTCACTCATGCTGACAAAATTTGATTCACTACTGTTTGTTCTGTGAAGGGTAAATGTTTTTAGGTGCGTCGTCGATCTTCTAGGGAGGGTCAAGGAACTCTGCTGTTGGACCAAGCAGTTGCAGCAACTTTGGGTGGCGCATGTTCGACAATATGTACGAATCCAATGGAAATGTTTCGAATCAGACTGCAGGTTCGTATTAAAGAGTGTTTTATTAGTTTCATTATTCCCTTATTCTTTCGTATACAACTGCTATTCTTTTCTGTTCTCTTGACAAAATTTCGTTCTATTCTAGGTGCACCGAAGCGATTATGTAGACACATTGGCTAGAATACTGAGAAACGAGAAGCAGCATATCTTCACCAAGGGTTTGGCTCCCAGGTCAGAACAGTATGATAATTTTTGTCGTGTGGTTTCTACTCCTCGGCGATTTCTCAGCTCTCTCAGCATTTCATGCCGTTGGGATGACATATCATCTTTTCCTAGATATTCCTAACTTGCATCTCTGTTTGATGTCCGTCTGTTTCAACAGCCTGGTGAAGGTCTCTTCCGCTCCATGTAATGTAGAAATGGCACTATTCAAATTGCCAGATTTCAGATTAATCAGCAATTCGATATACTCGTGTGTAGTCATGGTGGGCTATGAAGTCGTCAAGCGATTCTGTGTTCTGCCTGAATTTCAAGACAGGGTAAAATGGTAGTCTTCAGTAGTCATACCACGGATCTAATAATGATGTATTCCAATTCCTAGTCTTTATACATTATACAGATTAATACTAACCTACTAGACAGTATATAGGAAACAATTCTAAGTAATTGTGCAGAGATGTTGTTTTATGTTCAGATTTTACTTGAACTATATGATAACTAGTCTAATTTGTTGTCGAATCTCATCTAGTCCTACGATCTCACTTACACTCGGAGCTTGGCTTACTGTAATTCATTCGTTTGATGATATAACTCAATAAATCATTTCTCACTGAAGTGATATTCGTTGTTACGGAGAATTGTAATGTTCGTTGAAATATTTGCCTGGATATAAGTCTTGTAACTTTTTTTGCGGTGTCATGGAACATCACATGTTCGTCCCCTGGCCTCGGTCAAACTTAGGGCTTTGTAACCTTGGACAACGGGACTAACGAAATACGCGGATACCAGGCATACGGTTACGGAGCATTTTGTTAATGATGTGCGTATTGATTCTTGTTGTAAATGTTTGGAGCTTGTAATTTGTAATTGTTATAATTTGGCTGTGATAATATGCCACCCGCGAATGTTCGTTTGGACACTGAAAAAGCGGTTGGTAATACGCGAGAGCCCTCTGAAAAGCAGAATGGCCCAGATAATATTGGGTTGTCCGAAAAGTTCCCGCCGTTTTTTGATTCATTTTTGAATAAAAATTCCTAGAAGAAGAAATCCAGTGGTTGGACAATTTATCCTCCATTCTGTTCAGTAAGGATTCGCCATCTTCCTGAAGGTTCCAGTTCCCCTCTTCCATAGAAGGTTCCAGAGTTAAAAACGAAAAACCCTCTCAGGTGCTTTTTGCAGTCCTCCAGCGGATTGAACGATTTTCCATTCCAAGAATTTTGCTGAAACCCAAACAAGTGGTATTCTGATGGTGCTATGTCTGGACTATATGGGGGTGGCAAGACATCCCAATCGAGCTTTAGCAACTTTTGACGAGTGGCCAAAAATAGGTGTGGTCTGGAGGTACCCTCTTGGAAGATTACGCCCTCACAATTGGCCACTTCGGGTCGCTTTTGGTCTATCGCTGCCTCCATATTTTCTAGCTAAGTATAGTACCTTTCCGAAGTCATCGTTTGATTATGCGACAACAGCTCATGGTAAGTGATTTCCCTGAAATCCCATCAGCAACTCGGCATAGTCATCCGCACCTGGNTCCTCCTTATCCCATACCTTTTGTTCTTTACAACTCTATAGTAGGCATTGATCG